AAGAACAGAACAAAATTCCTGAAAAAGAACTAAATAAAATACACAAGCAATCTACCAAATGCAGAATTCAAAGCACTGGTTATATGGATGCTCAGTGATCTCAGTGAGAACTTCAACAGACAGGAAACATAAAAATGGAGATTAAAAAATATAAAAAAGAACCAGTCAGAAACAAAGAACACAATAATGAAATGAAGAATACATTACAGGGAATCAACAGTAGAGTAGATGAAGCAGAGGACAAATGTGTGATTTGGAAGATAAGGAAACAGAAAACACCCACTCAGAACAGCAAAAGGAAAAAGGAATTAGAAAAAATGAGGATAGTTGCAGGGTAGGGGGTGCAGGGGGGTATAGCGGGGATAAATGGTGATGGACAGAGACTTGACTTGGGGTGGTAAACACACAATACAGTGTACAGATGATGTGTTGGGGAATTGTACACCTGAAACCTGTATAATTTTGTTAACCAGTGTCACCCCAATAAATTCAATAAAGAGGAAAAAATTAGGGTAGTATAAATAAGAACCTCTGGGACAACTTCAAGCACACCAACATTCACATCATGGGGGGTACCAGGATAAGAAAGAGAGCAAGGAATTGAAAACCTATCTGAAAAAAATGACAGAAAACTCCCTAATCTGGTTACTACAAGTCAAAATACAAAATAATTTTAAGTCAAATATACAAAATCCAATGAAAATGACATATTTCAAAAAAAGGAAAAGAAGCCCTAGCCAGTTTTTCTCAGTGGTTAGAGCACTGGCTCACGGACAGAAGGGTACTGGGTTCAATTCTGACCAAGGGTACACGCCTCAGTTGCAAGCTCAACCCCTGGCTCCAGTCGGAGCTCGTGTAGGAGGCAACCAATCAATGTGTCTCTCTCACATCGATGTTCCTCTCTCCCTCTCCCCCACCTTTCCATTCTCTCTGAAAAGCAATGGAAAAAATATCCTCAGGTGAGGATTAAAAAAAAGAAGAAAAAAAGAAAATGGAATATTTCTATGCATTTTAATGATTTTTTTGCAAGTAACAGCTTAAAACTTTAAAAATTAAAATGATACTTGGAAAGAAAAAAAGTCAAAAGATGGAAAGATTTCAAATGCCCATGAACTGATGAATAAGCAAAATGTAGTAGATACACACAATGCAATATTTAACAACAAAAAAGGAATAACGTATCAATATATGCCACCCTCAAAAACATGCAAAGTGCAAGAAGCCAAACAAAACAAGCCATGTATTGTATGATTTCATTTATACAAAATATCCAGAATAGGCAAATCCATAGAGATAGTATATTAGTGGCTACCAGGGGCTGGGAGAAAAGGGCAACAGGGAATGACTGCTTAATGGGTACAGGGTTTGATTTTGGGGTGATAAAAATGTTTGGCAACTAGATGTGCAACATCATGAAGGTACTTAATGCCACTGAACAGTACACTCTAAATGATAACTTTTATATTATGTGAATTTTATAACAATAAAGAAGTTACCAGGCAAAAACACAGAAAACAATGTTACTTCACTTCTATTTTTAAAAGGTCATGAACCCTGGCCACTGTGGTTCAGTTGGTTGGAGGGTCGTCCCGTACACCAAAAGGCTGAGAGTTGGATCCCCAGTAGGGGCACATGTAGGAAGCAATCGATCAATCACATCGGTGTTTCTCTCCCTTCTTCTCTCTCTAAAAATCAATGGAAGCATATCCTCGGGTGAGAATTAAAAAGAAAAGATCATGAAAAAAATTACATATCCCTAGAAGAAAGGGACATTAAAGGTTCATTTCTGTAGTAAGTTAATCTCAACATGTTTCCAAACCAAATTATCTCATGATAAGCTCTAACAAAACAATTAAAAATGGTATCAGATTCTACTTTTGAAGCTTTAGGAATTTCTGAATGAATGCCTTATAGATGTCCTTTACAGTCATCAAATATCTCCTAACAGTGCTATAAATTTTATGATTTCAAACCAAAATGGAAAAGATGCACCCTTCTGAAAGTATTCTGGCTTTTAGCCAACAGACACAATCAAGTATATCTGTGAATAGAGCTGGTTTACTTATACTAAGATGAGAGACTGAGAAAGGAAGGGTTTTTTCTTGTACACAACCTCCCCAAACATATACACAAAAATTTCGGCACTCCATTAATTATTTTTATGTAAATTATCTGATTAGAAATCTGACAGTAATGTAACAGTTTTCATTTTCTTTACTTCTATTTTTTTTAAATATATTTTTATTGATTTCAGAGAGAGGAAGGGAGAGGGAGAGAGAGAAAAACATCAGTGATGAGAGAGATTCATTGATCGGCTGCTTCCTGCAAGCTCCCTGCTGGGGATCAAGCCCCCAACCCAGGCATGTGCCCTGACCAGGAATTGAACCATGATCTCCTAGATCATAGGTTGATGCTCAACCACTGAGCCACGCCAGCTGGACTTTCTTTCTTTTTTTATTAAGTTATTTATTGGTTTTTAGAGAGAGGGAGAGAGAAATATCGATTTGTTGTTCCGCTTATTTATGTATTCATTGGTGGATTCTTGTATGTGCCCTGACCGGGGATTGAACCCGCAACCTTGGCATATCGGGAAGATTCTCTAACCAACTGAGCTACCAGCAGGGCTTCTGACTATTTTCTTTACTTCTGATTCTGGTTCAGTGCAACCATTGGCTTTATCATTTACTGGCTAAATGATGGGACATCTTAATGAAAAGAAATCTACTTTACAGAAGAAAGTTAAAGTACACATTACAGAAATTTAACTCCTAAACCACCACAGAATAATTACATCAACAAATGCAGACTTGTGATATGAGTATCAACATTGGTCTAGAAGTCAGAACTCCAGGGTCAATCACTTACGTTACAAGTTTACTAGGGCAAGTCTTATTTTTCTTAGCTTTATTTTCTTTCTCAGGTATAAAAAGGAAAATAACTTTCCTGCTTGTCTCCCAACAGAAGTACAGTAATAAAAATATGTACGAGGTGTGTTGGGACCACTAAAGAGGGGCACCTAACCTAGCTTGATGTAGGATGCTGAGAAAAGGGAATAAGATGGGAGTAGGAAAGACTTTCAGAAATAGTTAATGAGTTCAAATTCAAAGGGAAGGGGGGAGAGAGAGCATTCCAAATGGGGGGAAGGGGCATCAGAAACAAAGGAGGTGAGGTGAATACCACAAGTCTGTTGTTATTCCCCTTCTTAAAAGAGTCAAGGGCTCCTAACTCTTCAGAGTAGTCCTTCACCCAGGCCTCAATGTATGATTCCAGTCTTATTTCATTCCACTCCCCAAATATACAATGCTTATTCTTTCCCGCCTCAATACTTAAATGTTCTTCCACTCCAGGAACATGTAGTTCAAAATGGGGATACTACCTTGCCTGCCAGACTGAGTGCAACATTTCCAGGCTGCTACTTAATAACTAAGTAGTATTCATTTTAACCTAAGAGACTATGAACATTGTATTTAAACCCTGGGTAGCCAAAAACAAGGATTACTCTTTCCAACATCAAAGTAGAATGAAAGAATGTTCTCAAATTTGCAACATTTCCAAGATAAATGAATATATGTCAGTAAAATTCGTAAAAAGTAATCATGAAAAGTTAAAAATCCATAAACTACTAATCTTGACCCAGAACAGAATGAGACCATCACAAGACATCCTTACCAGATAAGTAATGTATTCTGAGAACAAAATGTTCAAGTAATCTGCTGTAATTTAAACTCATAAAAAAAATCAAGTTCCAATTTTCCAAACAAGGTAAATTCAGAATTACAAAAAAATCATGTATAATCATTTTAGCACTCAAAATCAGCTTTAGTGTATTTTAGCTACTCTTTAATGCAAGGTAATTTTCCTTTGAACTGTTGAATTTAAACAATTTTTAAACTTGTCAATCCAGAGTATAGAGACTGTCTAAAAGACACCTGCTGCTCTGTGTCACACACTGAGACCTCTTCAGAAGTTCTCTTGGTGTTACAACTTACCATAGATGAAAAACAGGTAAGAATGCCTCCCAAAATTGGATGCAATCACTATTATACAGAAGACTTTCACAATTTTAAAGGCTATTATTCATATAACTGCTTCAGTCAACAGTAACTCTTAAGAAGGACTAGCCATACCATTCGCATCTGTTTAGAGGGTTCGATTTCATTTTAACAAGGTCTATCAACTCCCAAGATAGGGAAACACACACGTGCAGGATTTCCACCCATGCCCCACTACATAAATGTTTCACCACTCAAAACTAGTCAAACAAAACCTCTTTCAGTACAGTGAAGCCAGCTCACCACTTTTATCCTAACCCTCCTCATCCCCAACCTGTCAGTTACAGAACACACCACCGGATCCCAAACACCTCTCAATCTCCTTGAATTTAACCCACTTACACAACGAGCCAGCAGTACCCCTCACCCCGATTCAGTTCTACCGACCTGCATACATCAACTGAATTTCTAAATTAAATCAACTTTCCCCCACCCCATAACCCACTGAAACCCAACTTCCCATACCCGAAGCGATCTTCCCTTTCAGTAGCCTCAGTCTAACTTAAATGATCACTCAGTCCTTTGTCAACCGTCTCCGGCCCCACCAACTATCCTCTGCACATTCCCGGTCCCCTAGTCTTCCATCAAGTCCTAAAGTTGCCACCTCCCAACAAAACCAAAAAAGACAAAAAAACGCACCTCAACCTCAAACCTGCCCTTCCCCACGTTCACCCTCTTAATTTTCCTCTCTGCCTGTTCGCTCATACCGACAACAGCTCCGACAGCCCCGAAGACCTGAGCCCGGCCTCGTCCCATACCTCTTGGGGACCGCAATCACCTCGCCTCGGTCAAACCGCCCCCCACTAGGGCGCTTACTCCTAACAGACTCTTGGTCGCCGCTGCCTCCCTCCATTCATCCCCGGCCCATTCATCTCTCAGCCGGATCCCAGACACGCCCCCCGGCCTCCTCCCTCTCTCCCAGCGCTCAGCCCGGCCCGGGACCCTCACCAGATTAGAGGCTCTAGCAGAGGGAGACTCTGACTCTTTTCGCTTCTCCTTCGTCCTCTTTCAAGCCTCCGCTCGCCCCTCGACTAGCCACACCATAAAACACACACATACGCACACGCCGCCTCCTCCTCTAACGCCTCCTCCGATGCTTCTTACTCCCCTCCTCGAGGTCTCGCGCTCCGCTCCGCTCCGTGTGCGCGTGCGCGCGCGAGCGTCTCCCCGCGAGCCCACCGGGCCGGCTACCGCGGGT